TTTTTTTTTTGTCATTTTTAATGTATGTTTTATAAATATTTAGTTGAGAAAAACTTAAATAAAGTAACATGGACAGTGATGACTAGTTATGTGGATTTCTGAACCATGGAAATATGTCTTTGTTGAACGCCATACATATTTCAGTTGTGCTGTTCTTTGAATATTTTGTCTATCTTTATAATGCAGCAACCAGGAGGAACAAACAAAGAAAAAAGAATTTCTGGCACAACCAGTAGCTTGAAGAGATGTCGTAGAAGTTTTCAGTCCATGTACACATAACACATCTTTATCAAGAAGGTCAATGGAGTTCATCAGTTCAAGTCTTTTCAGAAGGATTAGTATTGATAAAAATAAGCCACATATCTGCTTAGTGAATTCTAAGATAAAATCACACTAATTTTTAAGTTTAATGAAAAAGTAGATAACTAGATCAACAAACTATTTTTGTGACCAAGTTAAAAAAAACACAAATGCAGACACCAACTTAGCAAATGGAAAACGAACATCTTAATAAAGTAGATACACAAACCAGTCGCAGCAGAAATAATACTAAATGAGAACTCTGATTAGTCTGTTACAACAAAGCAAAAATTGAAACATTGGGATCTTCTTCTTCATCAGAAATAATGCATCTCCGACTTCCTTCAGTTATCAAGCAACTGAAACATCTGGATCTTCTTCTTCATCAAGCATCGTCGGACATGAAACTCTATCAATGCTTGAACACGAACCTAAAAAAAAAGTATAATAGTATAAGAAAGTGAATACTATTATTAACATAGTAAATCGTAAAAAAGTTACTTACCATTTATCTCGTTCCATAACCAAGTGCGAGCACACATCAACGCCTCCAAAGTAGTAGGATGAAGTCTACTACGATGCGGGCTAATCAATCTCCCACTAGTGCTAAAGGCCGATTCTGAAGCAACGGTAGAGATAGGAATGGCTAAGAGGTCATGAGCTATCTTTTGCAAAGTAGGAAATTTTAATCCGTTTGTCTTCCACCAGCTTAAACTGTCAAATGATGGCGTACGAGGTAGCACACCTTCTTCTAA